GTTATCCTTTTATTTTTACAAGTGGGAAAACTGAGGTTCAGAGGGGTTAAATGATGTCTCTAAGGGAAGAAAACTAGAAAATGGCAATGTAAAAGAAACATTTTTGATTCTATATTTTATCTCATTTGCCTACTCTGAAGCCAGAATCACGCTGCTGTAATTATTCTAGTATGCCTCAGTCTTTTATAAAACTCTATGTACACTTAACATTAATGAATTTCTGCATATATTATTTTGTACTATATATTTTTTGTTTAACATTTCATATATGTGTCCTAAAATGGAGGTATTTCACATATTTATTTTAATACTTTGGGAATCCTATCACAGTTGGTAGAGTTCTTGCTGTGTCATCAGTAAATAATGTGGCAATAGATTTTATTTCCTAAAATTTTCCTGAACTCATTATTATTTCTAGTAATTTTACAGGATGATAGTTTTCAGAAGTGTACTATTATTATATTAACTACAAAAATTATATGTTTAATTCCTCCTAGCCTATAACTATACTGATAAGTTTCTTGTTGTTGTTATCAGAGGCCTATTGCAAACAACAGTTTAATCAAGTTTAAAATCATTAACAGAAAAGCCTTCAATTTCAAAGTTGGAGACAAATCGGGAAAAGTGCCACCAGTAAAATTCACTTACTTTTTAAAGACGACAAACCACTTGTTCCACCAAAGAGAGAGCGGGTGGCAGAGCTGCCTGACCCCCCTGGCGGCGGGACCAGCATCACCAAGTACGTGCCACAGGTATATATGGGAGTCTTCCTAAGCATTTTTAGAGGTAGCCCACAGCTAGTATTTGCTGATAAAAGGAATGAAAATGGTGAGGAGAAATATTTGACACAGATTAATTTGATTACCAAAACAGATTAGAGTATAATGAGGGAGTCCCAAATTCAAACAAGGATATATATACCCTGACTTGGAAAATAGAGCAAGTAATAATCCAAGAAAAAAAATAAAGTTCTTCTGGCTCCAGGCCCTGCCCCAAGCCTCCTGTTACAGGATCTGAACATGTTTCAAAGGTGTGACCTAGAGTCAATGTGCCTAATGTCTCTCTAAATTCTTTCTAAAGGATGAACGCTCATATGGGCTAAATCTCAAAATAAGAGTCCTACTGTTTGGGTTTCCCCCAGGAAGCTGTACTCCAATGGAGATCTTTTCATTTTTTATAGAACAAGTTCTTATCAGGTTTGTGGTATTACATTTATTACAGCTTTGAACATGAAATCAACCAGAAATTTCAACCTGGAACTAATAAAAGCTTTCACTATATCTATCACAAAATAATTTTATACCTACATGATTTATAACCCATTATATATTTTCTTTCTTTTTAGGGTCAGTAACATAAATGATCATTAAGAAAATAATGAATGTCTCTAATCAAGAGGTATAAAATGTACTTTACTCTCCCTTACTCACTGGCAGATCTGAAACCGCAGAGAGAATTTCAGGATTTTCTATATTAGTCTAGTGAGGACTGATGANTTCGAGCAGGTCCACAGCATGTTGTTCACTGTATCGTAACAGGCACCTGCAAAACGAGCATTCTCTATTCAGCGTCATGTCATCATCTGCCCATGAGTATATCTCTCTTAAGCACTGAAGAACGGAAGGGCAAGGAGTCTCCCGGAGGCTGACAATCCATAGCCTACTCCCATCTATTTACTTGGCAAAGCAGTAGACTGGGGCTCAGCAAAAAGGCAGGATTCAAATTTGATTTCTACTCGGCTTAACCCCTATGTGGGAATGGAATAAGTCTCACGGAACAGGGCCAGTTCTTAGTAACTGATTATATGTGACCTTTTTCATTCCAAAAGGGATTTAAGTGAATTACATTAAAATCCAGGTAAATGTGACTAATTAACATAACACATAATAAGTCTTAGTAACTGTGCCTGAACCTTAGATATGAGCTTCCTAGGAGCCAAGGCAAAGAGAACATATATTAGATAATGCTCATTTTCTAACAATAAGAAGTATTATAAACCCATTCCTCATGGAAAACAAACATTTTCATGGCATTACCTTTAAGAAGAGTTTGTTACCGGAATCATCACACAACCTAATGTACAGTATCATCAATAGCAATTTAGGCAGAGGAATTTCACATACGGCAATTTCCTATACTAATCCTCAAAATTAAATAGTAGTATAAAGTATTTCTTTCAAGGACACTGGAATACCACAGGAAATTGGCAAGATTTTTTTTGAGACAAATTGCTAAAACAGCATTTTCCAAGGACACATGGGAACTCACTGCTTACCCAATCCTGGGACAAGAGCACCACGCCCCAGCGAGCTCCCAGCAGCGTCGATGAGGTCGGCACGGCTCGTGAACTGGCCATCCGAAATGTTATAGACCAGGCTGGAGGCCAGGACTGTGGAAACGAACACTGAGTTGTTTAAGGAGCCTGAAAGTGATGGGCAGTAACTTTTCAAAGTTTACACTTTAGGCTCGTCACAAGACGTCAGAAAAACCACACCTTTTTTTGTTGTTATCTGTTGGTGGTGACAATACACACAGGAGACCACAAAAAGAAAATGGTCACAAAGTATCTTCCTAAACAGTGACCCATAGTTTTGAAAGTGTTTTTTTAAATGGAAACTTCTGCATAAAGGTTTTTTTCAACAGAGTATCAAAAGGGTAATTGCCAAGAGAATCTAGATGTTAACATCACAAGGTAACAACATTTACAGGAAATATTTTACATGTAGTTGGTGTTCAGTACAGGTCAGGGGACACTCAAACACACTCAGCTGCTGTCCTTTAGGCTGCAGCTCTAAAACTCGGAGACACTTTGGCCTTTTTCCTTAACACGGGATAGTGTAGTGATGACAAGCACGGGCTTTAGGTGTCTGGGGTTGAATTCTGGCTCCCCCTCTCCTGTGTGATCCTGGGAAATCTCCTGAACCTCTCAGTTTCCTCATGTGTAAAGTGGAGATAATAGAAGCACCTACCTTTCACTGTTGTTGTGAAGATTGAGTTAAAATATGTCCAGGATCTACACCAGCACACACGTGCTAGGTGCTATTGTCACTATTTTCTCACCCACATTCAAACACAAAATGCGAGCGCTGTGTCACTCGAGCGTCTTTGTTTTTCTTGTTCCCATCGCCCTGCTGTCCAGATCCTCCTCACACCTGACTTGAGCTATAATCGAAACTGTACTCTTTGTGTCTTTTCCATTTTCTACTTGTTCCTTCCTGCACACCAACCAAATGATCTTGCCCAAATCTCTTTCTCACTGTGTGTACCATGCATAGGCCTTTCCCCACACTCGGCCACTTATCTGAATAATACCCATTTTTCATGACTTCAACTCAAAACCTCATGAAGTCTCTCCCTCCTACCCCACTCCACAGTGACCCTTTCTTTCTGAGTCAGCAGCACTTACATCTGCTCCCCAGAGCAGGCAGTGACACAGCATCGCACATCATTTTCTACTTGTTTCTCACACCTACATCATTTCTCCCAACTAGACTCTGAGCCCTTTGAGGCAAGCGCTACTTCATCCACTTACTGAGCAGCCCCCATGGTGACGGATGGGGGACGAGACACAGAAGGAATTTAAGCATGTATTGATTCATTGGTCTAAAATAGAATCACTGTGTAAGCTATATCCTCATGAAAAGAAAATAGCACCATGAAGCCCTGCTTTAATCAACTGGGGCCAATTTCAATTGAGTGAAAAAGCCATGCCAAGACGACAAAAAAAGAGTTTAGTGAGACTAGTGGTCAATAAAAAGACAAATATCCCAATTTAAACATGGACAAAGGATTTGAATAGACATTTCTCCAAAGAAGATACACAAATAGCCAATAAGTACAAGAAAAGATGTCCAACATCATTAGTCATTAGGGAAATGCAAATCAAAACCACAATGAGATACCGATTCACACCCACTAGGATGGCTATAATTAAAAAAAAAGGAAACTAACAAGTGCCGATGATGTAGAAAAATTAGAACCATTATAGAACTGCTGATGAGAGTGGAAAATGATGCAGCCACTTTGGAAAACAGTGTGGCAGTCCCTCCACAGGGTAAACGTAGGGTACAATATGACCCAGAATTCTACTCCAAGGTATATATCCAAGAGCAATGAAAACATGTCCACACAAAACCTGCACGTGAATGTTCATAGCAGCATTATTTAAAATAGCCAAACGGCTGACCGAGTGGCGCATCGGTTAAGAACTGGCTTGGGATGCCAGAGGGCCCCAGTTCAGATCCCACATATGAGGGCCAGTGACACTGCTCTCCACAGCTAAGATGGTGAAGGGCAGCTTGACCTGGGCCTGGGCTGCCATGGGTGGCCAGCGAGGGTGTAGGCTGCAGTCTCCTGCTGCAGTGGGTTGCCATGGGCTACCGTGTGTAGTCGGCAGCCAGCGTGAGC